ATTTTTATATATATTAGAATTTTAGTTTTATTTTTTTATATTTAATTTATAAGGTTTTAATTTAATTTAATAAAAATAATAATAATAATAATGATAAAATATGGAAAAATTATTTTTGAGATTTAATTGAAATTGATTTTGAGAAAAATGGGTGAAATTTTGAATTTTGCGGGTATTTTTAAAAAGAAAATCGGAAACTGGGGGTCAAAACGCAATTTAAGAAAGTTGTGCCACGTCAGCAGCCACGTTAGCAGCCTAGTCAACGACCCCGGCCAACCAGAACACGCCGCGTGGCAAGGAAGCTGACGCGGGAGACCACACAAACGGAGCCACGTGAGCAATCTGCATGCACTCGATCCAACGATCCAGATCGAATGCGTGCGGACGGTCCAAATCTCACGCGCACGGACAGCCCAGATCGAACGCGTGCAGACGGTGAATCACGCACGGACGGTCCAGATCGCATCGCGATGGACGGCCCAAATTAAAACGTGATGGACGGCTGAGATTAAAAGGAGAAGGTTATAAATAACCTCACTCACACCCGACCCCAAACCCTAGCCGCCAATGCCTCGCCGGAGAAGAAGAACCAGACGCCGGAGGAGCCGGCCGTCGCTACCCGCCACCGCACCGGAGGGTTTTTCGACCGCCAAACGATGTAAATTTTCCTCTTAGCTCGTTTTTCGATGTTGAATCCACCTATGGCCAAATCGGAGCAAACCATCGGCTAATCGGCCGGAAAACACCGCCGAAGTCCAGCGGTGCTGTCGCGGCTTCCTTCGATTTTTGCCTCCGATGAGGCCCTTTCTGGTTCCCGTTTGATGCAATTTTTATACCAATATGATCACCGTCATTTTCTCTACAGGTTAACCGGAGCAAAACATCAAAACGCGACTCGTGCCGGAGAAGCCGTCGTCCCAGAATTCTGATATTGGCCGAAAAGGGGCCCTGGGTCTGATTTGAAATTTTTTGGGACACGTGCAAGTATCGGTAGTGCGTTTCAGTTTCCTGAAAAAAAATTCAGGAAATTAGGGAAAGCCCGTAGGCGCACTGTAGAGTCGATTTCAAACCCCGAAACAAGTAAGGATCTCTCACCCTATTTCCTATCACGGCATTAAAGCCTAATAAATGATAAAACGGTATTT